AGAGTCAATGCAGCGGGATTTCTTGGTGCACAGGAAAACTCAACACTTTACACCAATGAACCGACTTTATGTCAGATTTTAGCTGTAAAACTTTTCCCAGATTCTCAGTGAAAGGAATGGGATCCTCGATGAACCGGAAGAGCCACCACAAGGAAGCTCGGTTCAGGAACGATTAGAGACAAAAGTGGTGAAGAGAGAGAGAGAAACAGGAGGGAGGGAGGTTCATGTTCCTGTTCTAGAATTTGACGTCATAGAGTTCGTTTACATGCACATCAATAACCCGGTTATGATCGGGTTTTTTGAGTATCCCGGTTTTTTGATTGTGCATGTAAACCCAGTATCCCAGTTTCAGTGTCCCGGTTATGGCAGTGTCCTGGTTATTAGAAACTGAGTTACTGTAGCTGGTTTATTCCGATAGTAACCGGCATACATGTGGCATGTAAACGCAGTATCCCGGTTACTGCAACATAAAGTTGAGTCGCATGCGTCCAAAAGACACTTTCCAGTCTTTTCACCACAACAGTAGAGACATAAATAAAGTGACCACATGAGTGAAATGACTGTAAAATTAAGAGCTGCGCTAAACCTGCACATGTACAATCTGCACTTGTACGACCTGCACTCGTGTGACGCTGAAAAACTAAAACATGAACTATCTCCTAGACCAGGAGAGTCAAACTCGTTTTGTTCTGGGGGTCGAGTCCAACCGACTTTGATCCCAAAGTGTCCGGATCAGAAAACTCATGTCATATAAACCCCCAAAAATAACAATAAGTTCAAATATTTGTGCAGAGAAACACAAATCTATTACAGAAATATTTTTTAATTGATGAACTCTTTCTTTTACAAAATATTATAATATTATGAACAACCTGAAACCAATTTCAACACAAGTTTGAACTTTAACTTTAAATAGGAATTCAAAAAAAATTCTGCATCCACTTTTCTCATGTTGGACATTTTTCTGATGAGGGTGTCACGGTCAACAGTCAAAACCATCGTCCTTTAAGAGCGTTTGGAAAGCGACAAGTCTTCATTTGTGCTGCTCTGGTGGGAGGGGCCACGTACAGAGACGCTGGAGACGCTGCTGTGCTCAGCGATGCAGAAAATTACTGATATTTAATAGAAAATTTAATAAAAATATTTTAGTAGAATTTGTTGCATTTGTAAGATTATGTCATGAAACCGGGACACTCCATTTGATCATGTCCACGCGGGTATGACTGTCCCGGTTTCTCAGTGCGCATGTAAACACAGTAACACGAACACTGACAGAACCAGGATATGACTAATAACCGGGACACTGATGTGCATGTGACGCACTCAATGTCCTGGTTATGGTTTCGTCATGGTGCATGTAAACTCAGTGTCCTGTTTATGAGAAACCGGGACACTGTAGCTCAGGAGTCTCCAACCTGTAGCTCGGGAACCACCAGTAGGTCTCCGCCCCGTCCAAGTAGGTCTCGGCGAGGGGTTTCAGATGTGCACCACTGTGCTGAAGAACAAACATTTGGTTAAAACTGCTGTAAATGAATCATTTGAAGCCCAACTTTGTGCATTAATAAACAGACAAAAGTTTATGTTTTGTAGGAAACAAAAGAAGTAGTAGCTCTGTTTTCTTTTGTAAAAGTAGCTCACTGGAGGAAAAAGGCTGGAGACCCCTGCTGCAGTTGGTATATTCCGATAATTCTGGAATACTGTGGAATGTAATCGCAGTATCCCAGTTACTGAGCTACAGCTGAGTGCACATGTGTCCAAAAGACAAACACTTTTCAGTCTTTTCATCAACAGTAGCCAATATAAGTAAAGTGCCCGACATAAGTAAAGTGCCCGACATAAATAAAATGTCCAGCATAAATAAAGTGTCTGACATAAAGTGACCAGTATAAATAAAGTGACCGACATAAATAAAATGTCCAACATAAATAAAGTGTCTGACATAAAGTGTCCGACATAAATAAAGTGTCCGACATAAATAAAGTGCCTGACATAAAATAAAGTGCCCAACATAAATAAAGTGCCTGACATAAAGTGTCCGACATAAATAAAGTGTCCGACATAAATAAAGTGCCTGACATAAAATAAAGTGCCCAACATAAATAAAGTGCCTGACATAAAGTGCCCAACATAAATAAAGTGCCCGACATAAATAAAGTGACCGACATAAATAAATTGACCAACATAAATAAAGTGCCCAACATAAATAAAGTGTCTGACATAAAGTGTCTGACATAAAGTGTCTGACATAAAGTGGCCAGTATAAATAAAGTGACCGACATAAATAAAGTGCCCAACATAAATAAAGTGTCTGACATAAAGTGTCTGACATAAAGTGGCCAGTATAAATAAAATGCCTGACATAAATAAATTGAATGACATAAATAAATTGACCAACATAAATAAAGTGCCTGACATAAATAAAGTGTCTGACATAAAGTGACAAACGTAACTAAAGTGACCAACATAAATAAAATGTCCAACATAAATAAAATGCCCGACATAAAGTGACCAGTATAAATAAAGTCCCTGATATAAATAAAGTGCCCGACATAAATAAAGTGTCCGACATAAATAAAGTGACCAACGTTAATAAAGTGTCTGACATAAATAAAGTGTCCGACATAAATAAAGTGCCTAACATAAAGTGTCTGACATAAAGTGACCAGTATAAATAAAATGCCTGACATAAATAAATTGAATGACATAAATAAAGTGCCTGGCATAAAGTGTCCGACATAAATAAAGTGTCCGACATAAATAAAGTGCCTGACATAAAATAAAGTGCCCAACATAAATAAAGTGCCTGACATAAAGTGCCCAACATAAATAAAGTGCCCGACATAAATAAAGTGTCCGACATAAATAAAGTGCCTGACATAAAAAATAAAGTGCCTGATATAAATAAAGTGTCCGACATAAATAAAGTGCCTGACATAAAATAAAGTGCCTGATATAAATAAAGTGCCCGACATAAATAAAGTGCCAGACATAAATAAAGTGCCTGACATAAATAAAGTGTCCGACATAAATAAAGTGCCAGACATAAAATAAAGTGCCTGATATAAATAAAGTGCCCGACATAAATAAAGTGCCAGACATAAATAAAGTGCCTGACATAAATAAAGTGTCCGACATAAATAAAGTGTCCGACATAAATAAAGTGCCCGACATAAGGCTGGGGTTTGTATCTTTCTCTGGGAGATCGTTTATAATCAGAGGAACAGTTCTAGGATCAGTGGGACTGTTCTGACAGGTGTGCACCCGTCAGACTCCGCCCCTGCCGACAGGTGTTTCTCCTACAAACATGTGGACTCCGTCTCCTTCCAGGACGTCCTGACGACTCACCCCTTCACCAAGATCTCCAACTGGAGCAGTGGGAACACCTACTTCCACATCACCATCGGCAACTTGGTGCGAGGAAGTAAACTCCTGTGTGAGACGTCCCTGGTGAGACAAGCACGACGAGTCCAGGACTAAACCAGGACTAAACCAGGACTAAACCAGGACTAAACCAGGACTAAACCAGGACTAAACCAGGTCTAAACCAGGACTAAACCAGGTCTAAACCAGGACTAAACCAGGACTAAACCAGGACTAAACCAGGACTAAACCAGGTCTAAACCAGGACTAAACCAGGACTAAACCAGGTCTAAACCAGGACTAAACCAGGACTAAACCAGGTCTAAACCAGGTCTAAACCAGGTCTAAATCAGGTCTAAACCAGGACTAAACCAGGTCTAAATCAGGTCTAAACCAGGACTAAACCAGGTCTAAATCTTAGTCTCTTTTCTCTTATATTTGTTCTGTTCAAGATTCACTCAAACATGTGAATGAAACAAACACAAGTCCAGCTCAGTGTGACCAGAAACATCAGAAAAATAAAACAGTAGAACTTTAGAACATCAGAACATCAGAACAGTAGAACATTAGAACATTTAGAACGTTAGAACATTTAGAACATTAGAACATTAGTATATTTAGAACATCAGAACATGAGGAGACTCGGTGTAATGTTTGTTTCTGACCTTTGACCTTTTCCCAGGGCTACAAAATGGACGACCTCCTGACGTCGTACATCAGCCAAATGCTCACGACCCTGAGCAAACAGAGGACGAGCCGCAGCAGCGCCGACTGACTCCTCCTCACCTCCTCCTCTTCATCACCTCCTCCTCCTCCTCACCTCCTCCTCTCTTCATCTCCTCCTCTTCACCTCCTCCTCCTCCTCTTCATCACCTCCTCTTCCTCCTCTTCATCACCTCCTCCTCACCTCCTCCTCCTCCTCTTCTCCTCCTCCTCCTCTTCATCCTCCTCCTCTCTCACCTCCTCCTCACCTCCTCCTCCTCTTCACCTCCTCCTCCTCTCACCTCCTCCTCCTCCTCACCTCCTCCTCCTCCTCCTCTCCTCACCTCCTCCTCCTCTTTCACCTCCTCTCTCACCTCCTCCTCACTCCTCCTCCTCTTCACCTCCCCTCCCTCTTCACCTCCTCCTCTCACCTCCCCTCACCTCCTCCTCCTCCTCTTCACCTCCTCCTCTCCTCTCACTCCTCCTCTCATCACCTCCTCCTCTTCACCTCCTCCTCTTCATCCTCCTCCTTCCTCCGTCCTCACCTCCTCTTCATCACCTCCTCCTCCTCTCTTCACCTCTCCTCCTCCTCACCCTCCTCCTCTTCATCTCCTCCTCATCACCTCCTCCTCCTCACCTCCTCCTCCTCTTCATCTCCTCCTCTTCATCACCTCCTCCTCCTTACCTCCTCCTCCTCACCTCCTCTCTCATCACCTCCTCACCTCCTCCTCTTCATCACCTCCTCCTCCTCTTCATCACCTCCTCCTCCTCACTCCTCTTCATCACCTCCTCCTCTTCACCTCCTCCTCCTCTTCATCACCTCCTCCTCTTCATCACCTCCTCCTCCTCTTCATCACCTCCTCCTCTTCACCTCCTCCTCTTCATCACCTCCTCCGTCCTCATCTCCTCCCTCCTCCTCCTCCGTCCTCGTTTCCTCCTCCTCACCTCCTCCGTCCTCGTCTCCTCCTCCTCCTCACCTCCTCCGTCCTCGTCTCCTCACCTCCTCCGTCCTCATCTCCTCCCTCCTCCTCCTCCCTCCTCGTCTCCTCCTCCTCACCTCCTCCTCCTCCATCCTTTCTCTCCTCCTCCTCCTCCTCTTCACCTCCTCCGTCCCCGTCCTCCTCCGTCCTCCTCACCTCCTCCGTCCTCGTCTCCTCCTCCTCCTCACCTCCTCCGTCCTCGTCTCCTCCTCCTCACCTCCTCCGTCCTCGTCTCCTCCGTCCTCGTACCTCCTCCGTCCTCCTCCTCCTCACCTCCTCCGTCCTCGTCTCCTCCTCCTCACCTCCTGCCTTTAATCCGTCCGGAGCTTCACCTTCCTCTGTGACGTCTCCGTTGTCGTGGCGACGCCGTTTCCTTTTGCTTTTCCTCGTCTCAGATAAACGTCCGTTTCAGTTTCTGTGCCACCGTGAGTTTAGTTCTGAGATGTGAAACCACAGTTTCATCACAGAGTTTGTGTCTTTACTTGTGTCTTTAGTAATAAATCAACTTTTACAAATGTCCTGTGGAAATCTCGGTTCTTGATGTGGAGGTTTTCTGTCAGATCTGATCCTGTCTGGAGCTTCGTCTCATGTTCTAACGCCGTTCCCTCGTCAGGAACCTGCCGGAACAGGTCTGAGTCATCTAGTGATCTCAAACCCTCCCTCCGGTGGCAGTGGTACGATTTTGTGCAAGGCATTACATTAGAACATCAGAACAGTAGAATCGTAGAACATTAGAACATTAGAAAAGCAGAATATTAGAACAGTAGAACATTAGAATAATAAAACAGTAGAAAAGTAGAACATTAGAATATTTAGAACATTAGAACAATGGAACATTGGAACATCAGAACAATAGAACATCAGAACATTAGAACAGTAGAACATTAGAATAATAAAACTGTAGAAAAGTAGAACATTAGAATATTTAGAACATCAGAACAGTAGAACATTAGAACGGTAGAACATCAGAACATTAGAACATCAGAACATTAGAACAGTAGAACATCAGAACATTAGAACATCAGAACATTAGAACATTAGAACATCAGAACATTAGAACAGTAGAACATCAGAACAGTAGAACATCAGAACATTAGAAGAGTGGAACATCAGAACATCAGAACATTAGAACATCAGAACATTAGAACATCAGAACAGTAGAACAGTAGAACATTAGAACGTTAAAACAGGGCCCCGCCCACAAGCCTACAAAGCAGAAGAGGAACTTGTCTGTCAAAAATGAAACGGACTAAACCTGTTAAATATGTGAACAAAACCCTCAAAGATCACGTGATGATCTAAACGCTCCATAGAATCATTTCTTATTCTTCATATATGTGGAGTTTTAAATCACGACGGAGGGTTTGGCTGCTCTTGTGGCTGTCTGACTCACACACTGAGCACTTTTTGACACTTTGTTTGCCGAGCTCATTTTTTAACATCATGTTCTGGGACTTAAACTCCGAGGAGCAGCTCAGGACGCCAGCGACGGACTGTGGGATTGTGGGAAATGAGCGGTTTGTTTTTCTCGTTTCCATGGCGACTGTGCCAGAAGTGATGCTGCGTTCTCTCGGATCTGGGGTCTGACGTCACGTTCGCGCTTAAACCGATTTATTTTGTTTCGTGTGGAGACCAAATCGGAAAAAAATGTGGAGACCAAATCGGAAAACTGTTGTTGTTTTAACATCGACCGAGAAGCAGAAGCCAAAATAAATCTGTGCTTCAACAACAAAACCTCCAGAAGAATTCAACCCAAACAAGTTTAAACAGAAGAAACACGAGAATTCAGTTTAAACACAAGAAGTGAGTTTAGTGAAGTGAAAGTTTTGGTGTCGTGTCATTTTGACGCTTTAACAGGAAATGGACTAAAAACATGAACCACAACGACTACAGACGCAGTAAAGTACTGCAGTAATACAGACGCAGTAAAGTACTGCAGTAATACAGACGCAGTAAAGTACTGCAGTAATACAGACGCAGTAAAGTACTGCAGTAATACAGACGCAGTAAAGTACTGCAGTAATACAGACGCAGTAAAGTACTGCAGTAATACAGACGCAGTAAAGCAGTAAACAGTGCAGTAATACAGACGCAGTAAAGTACTGCAGTAATACAGACAGCAGTAAAGTACTGCAGTAATACAGACGCAGTAAAGTACTGCAGTAATACAGACGCAGTAAAGTACTGCAGTAATACAGACGCAGTAAAGTACTGCAGTAATACAGACGCAGTAAAGTACTGCAGTAATACAGACAGTAAAGTACAGTAAAGTAAAGTACTGCAGTAAACAGTACTGCAGTAATACAGACAGACGCAGTAAAAAGTACTGCAGTAATACAGACGCAGTAAAGTACTGCAGTAATACAGACAGACGCAGTAAAGACTGCAGTAACTGCAGTAACAGTAGTAAACAGACAGTAACTGCAGTAAAGTACTGCAGTAATACAGACGCAGTAAAGTACTGCAGTAATACAGACGCAGTAAAGTACTGCAGTAACACAGACGCAGTAAAGTACTGCAGTATGTGTTTGTGTGTATTTGTGTTCAGTTCAGTGACTCTGCAAACACAAACAACTCCCATAAATGTAGAAAACTTCTGAAAAAAGTCATTTCTGTCCCGACTCTGAACAATCACTGATGTAAAACCTTCAGTTTGTCACGTTGTTCTAATATTTATTGTGCCTCATCATGAGCATGAGTGTGTACTTTTAGTGTGTACTTTTAGTGTGTACTTTTACTGTGTACTTTTGTACTTTTGTGGGCGGCAGTAGCTCAGTTGGTAGAGCATTCGCCCACTGATCTGAAGGTTGGTGGTTTGAATCCAGCTCTCAACATAAACATCACAGGTTGAACGGTCAGATCCACTGACCCACAGGTTGGCTGGTGTGATTCCAGCTCCCACAGATGAATGCTGCCGTTGTGTCCTTGGGCAAGACACTTAACCCACCTTGCCCACAGTGTCTGCGTACACTGGTGTATGAATGGGTGAGTGGTTCCTTGTTGTAAAGCGCTTTGAGTGCCTTGAAGGTGGAAAAGCGCTATAGAAAAATGTGACCATTTACTTTTAGTTCCTGTACTCGGCCTCATCTTTAAATATTGCTTCATTTCAGCTCGACTCTGTAAAAACCACAGACATGTGAGTGAGCAGGAAGTGGTGCTGACAGTGAGGCTGCTGGGCTGTCGCGCTCACACTCCTGATCTGAACGTGATAATAAATGTCAGAGGAGGAAGAGGAGCCAAAAACTCTCCTCAAATAAGAGTCACAATAATCTGAGTCAGGTAGAAGAGCAGGAAGTCGTGGTCCCACAAATGACCCGAGTAAGAGTCAAAAGGATTGAACGTTTGCAGCTGATGTCGTCCACATTCCCTGGGGCGGCTCCAAAAACACACTTGCATCTGTTCCGGATATTTCTACAAAATACAAAATGTGAAGCTCCCAAATACAAATATGTGGGACGTTTGATCACAGAGGATGTGTCAGATGATGAGGACATGTACACACAGTGTGTCAGGATGTGTGCACAGGCTCACGTGTGCATTGATTCATTCATTTTTATTTGGAGTTTGTGTCAAGAGAGAAACAATAATCATGTTACTACATGTACATCGAAAACAACAGAAAAGCACATTTCTCCAAAAGGAGGGAAGAAGAAAAACTGATCTGAACCAACCTCTGTTCATGACACAGTTTCAAAACTCATGTGGTTGTTTCTGAACATTGATCACGGACCTGAACAAATATTTACATATAACAAAAATAAATGACATTATGCAACAAAATATCATTTTAACCACAAAACGTTTTCTTTTTTTTTTTTTTTTTTTTTCTCTCTTTTTCCCATTTTGTACAGTACACATATATATACATATATACATACACATGCACACATACACCCATACACATATGTACACATATATACACACACATTATACATATATACACACATAAACACACACACACCGATCTAATATATATATATATATATATATATATATATATATATATATATATATATATATATATATATACACATACACACATATACATTTTTTTATTTTGTTAAAGATCACCCAGTGCTTCACTCATCCTTAGACCATGAAAGCAAAAATTCTTTATAATTCCTTTTGAAGCTGTGAATATTTGGGCTGCTTCAGGTTTTCTTTGGATTATATACAGCACACGTGTGTCAAAGTCCAAAAGGACCAGTTCACACAAACTCACTGTGGCCTAGAATGATGCTGAAGGATCAGAGTGAAAAGGCCCAGACGGGAAAGTGCAGCTCACCTGTTTGTGTGAACGACCATCATGACTTTTCACACCAATGTGCCGTGTTCCCTGCACACGTTCATGTGTGCCTTCATCACTGTGAGAAGAGTTTTATCATGAGCCCGACTCACGTCAAACTCACCACCACGAGGTACCAGTCTGATCTGTGGAGACACGGGGACGCCACTTTACTGTCAATATTGTGTGTGTGTGAGTGTGTGTGTGTGTGTGTGTGTGTGAGTGTGTGTGTGTGTGTGTGTGTGAGTGTGTGTGTGTGTGTTGTGTGTGTGTGTGTGTGTTGTGTGTCTTTGTCAGCGTCAGGAAGTTTACTTTTAAAATGTAATCCCTTACAGATTACAGATTACAGATTACACATCCCAAAATGTAGTTTGTAACTGCTGCCTTAAATTATGTCCACCTACTGTTAGTGTCATATTGTATTAGTTTAGTCCTGGTTTAGTCCTGGGGTTTAGTCCTGGTTTAGTCCAGTTTTAGTCCTGGTTTAGTGCTGGTTTAGTCCTGGTTTAGTCCTCGGTTTAGTCCAGTTTTAGTCCTGGTTTAGTCCTGGTTTAGTCTGGTTTTAGTCCTGGTTTAGTACTGGTTTAGACCTGGTTTAGACCTGCTTTAGTCCTGCTTTAGTCCTGGTTTTAGTCCTGGTTTTAGTCCTGGTTTAGTCCTGCTTTAGTCCTGGTTTAGTCCTGGTTTAGCCCAAAATGTGAAAACAGTTAAATCCCTCTGTGTAATCCCATTTATTTCAACAAAGTAACTGTAATCCAATTCCCACTCACTGAAACAGTAACTGTAACTGAATACAGTTACTCATCATTTGTACTCTGATTACGTAACTCCGGTACTTGTAATCTGTTACTCCCTGACACTGCTCATCAGACCAACTCCAGCTCGCCGTCCCAAAAACTAAACGTGAGCTTTGTGGGGACCGTGTGTTTTCTGTTTCTGCCCCTCGGCTCTGGAACCAGATCAGAGGCCGAGTCTGGATCTGTTTTTAAATCACTCCTAAAAAAAACATCTTTTTTCACTGGATTTTAATAAGCGACATGTACATTTCTTGTTGAGTGTTTTACTGTTTTTCTGTGTTTTTTAGGAGCTGTAATGTGTTTGTACCGTATATTTTCTTCTACTGCGATTGTCATTGTCATTGTCTGTCCTGTGTTTGTGTGCAGAACTTTGGCAAACTGTAAAGTTTTTAAAGTGCTTTATAAATAAAGTTGGTCTGGTATCAGAAACTCGCCTGAGGAGGTCGGAGACGTCGTCCATGTTTGACCTTCCACAGTCTTGCTCCTGATTGGCTCGTTGGTTGCCATGACGCCCTGGACATAAATAAATAAATAAATAAATAAATAAATAAATAAATACACAAACAAGACGATGACGTGTTAGTGGAAAGTTTTTAAAAAGGTGAAGGTCTGTGGAAAGTTCTTCTACTTTAACATGTTTGAAATACGAGAAAAACCACAAACGATCAAGAGATAAAGAATATGTTAAAAAACAGGATGTTCAAAGACTTGAGTCAGACCTGGTTCAGACCTGGTTCAGACCTGGTTTAGACCTGGTTTAGACCTGGTTTAGTCCTGGTTCAGACCTGGTTCAGACCTGGTTCAGACCTGGTTTAGACCTGGTTCAGTCCTGGTTTAGATCTGGTTCAGACCTGGTTTAGATCTGGTTTAGACCTGGTTTAGACCTGGTTCAGTCCTGGTTCAATCCTGGTTCAGACCTGGTTCAGACCTGGTTTAGATCTGGTTCAGTCCTGGTTCAGACCTGGTTTAGACCTGGTTCAGACCTGGTTCAGTCCTGGTTTAGACCTGGTTCAGACCTTGTTTAGACCTGGTTCAGTCCTGGTTCAGACCTGGTTCAGTCCTGGTTCAGACCTGGTTCAGACCTTGTTTAGACCTGGTTTAGATCTGGTTCAGACCTGGTTCAGACCTGGTTCAGACCTGGTTCAGACCTGGTTCAGTCCTGGTTCAGACCTGGTTCAGACCTGGTTTAGACCTGGTTCAGACCTGGTTCAGACCTGGTTCAGACCTGGTTCAGACCTGGTTCAGACCTGGTTCAGACCTGGTTCAGTCCTGGTTTAGACCTGGTTCAGACCTTGGTTCAGACCTGGTTCAGACCTGGTTCAGACCTGGTTCAGACCTGGTTCAGACCTGGTTCAGTCCTGGTTCAGACCTGGTTCAGACCTGGTTCAGACCTGGTTCAGACCTGGTTCAGACCTGGTTCAGTCCTGGTTCAGTCCTGGTTCTTGGACATGTTCCTCAGGGTGCTGCTCTGGTGTTGTGGTGAGTTCTGGCTCTTTTTTCTTCTTCTTTATTTGCTGTAAAATTTGTATAAAAACACAATCTGTCATGTTGAGGTGGTTTGATTTCAAAAGTGAAATGATTCTTATAATAAAGTCAAATCATGTTGGAGTCGTGGCTCGTCGGTCGTGGCTCATCGGTCGTGGCTCGTCGGCGTCGCGGCTCGTCGGTCGCGGCTCGTCGGTCGCGTCTCGTCGGCGTCGCGGCTCGTCGGTCGCGGCTCGTCGGTCGCGGCTCGTCGGCGTCGCGGCTCGTCGGTCGCGGCTCGTCGGTCGCGGCTCGTCGGTCGTCGTCGGCGTCGCGGCTCGTCGGTCGCGTCGCTCGTCGGCGTCGCGGCTCGTCGTCGCGGCTCATCGGCGTCGCGGCTCGTCGTCGTCGTCGGCGTGGCTCGTCGCGTCGCGGCTCGTCGGTTGCGGCTCCTCGGTCGCGGCTCGTCGGTCGCGGCTCGTTGGCGTCGTCCCGGCGCTGGTTTGGCGTCAGTATTTGTGTGTCAAAGCTCCACACGGCGTCTGTGCTTTTGCTCTAACACCTGTTTGGAGACTGAGACACTGGGACATGTTTTATTCACAATCACCTGAAGAGAGTCACAGCTTTGGGCTGATTGTTAAATGTGCAGATTTACTGTGGCCAAGAGACTTTAAAAGTGAACAGAAAAAGAGAATCATGTGGAAACAACAGAGAAAGAATCTTTTATTACAATTAAATCAGGTGAAAATCATTAAATCTCCCGAATCAAACCAACTACAAGTGTGAAAATGAAAACAACAGAAAGAAAAATACTAAAAGTTGAAATCCTGCGTGTGTGTGTGTGTGTGTGTGTGTGTGTGCTATTACACACACACACACACACGCAGTGTTTTTCAGTCAGATAGATAAATCAAAGATAGACACATTTTGATTTGAATTGAAATCTTCCTCTTTTCATGTTTCTGTTTTGGAAAAAACACAAAAGTGTTTTTAGATGAAAACACGATGAAAAAGTTGAAATACATTTGTTCTTCCATTTGTGTGGAAACGACAGAGCAGAGCACGATTAAAGCCACGTGTGTGTGTGTGTGTGTGTGTGTGTGTGTGTGTGTGTGTGTGTGTGTGTGTGTGTGAGGACAGGGCACCCTGTGACATCACTGTGTGCTTCAATAAATCAATAGAGACGTGACGTCACACACTCTCCTCCTGTCCCTGCGCTTTAACACACAACACACCACACTGTGTAACATCAACTCTGTGTGCAGGGGTCATGTGTGCAGGGGTCCTGTGTGCAGGGGTCCAGGCAGAAAACAACAGCTCAGCAGGTAAGAAGCAACACACTCACACAGACCAGGAGTCAAACCCACAACCTGCTCACTGAGAGGAGAGGGTTTGCTCAGGTAAAGGGGCGGGGCTTCACTGCTCAGGTAAAGGGGCGGGGCTTCACTCTGTCTCTTGTCTGTTCAGAGCTCCGGTTGGTGGGAGGAGCCAGTCGCTGTTCTGGGACTGTGGAGATGAAACATGAAGGAGACTGGAGACGGATGGAGGAGCAGCTTTATGGACACTGGGACCATGAGTCCACAGCTGCTGTGTGCAGAGACGTGGACTGTGGCTCTGCTGTTTATGGAGAATATACAGTTAGTTTTCCAAAGAGTCGTGTGTGGAGTGTCTCATCTGACTGTGTGAAGATGAAGTCTTCAGTGAGAGAATGTGTCCCTGGTTCTTTCTCCTCTTCCTCTGAGGGTCTGAAGGTGAAATGTTCAGGTAAAAGTCTGATCTTACATTTTCATGTCTCATGTTTTTTCATGTTACTTCAGAGGAGTGTAACACACACACGTGTGTGTCCTATTGGTTCAGAGTGATGATGTCACACATGTGTGTGTGTTATTGGTTCAGAGTGATGATGTCACACATGTGTCCTATGGTTCAGAGTGATGATGTCACACATGTGTGTCCTATTGGTTCAGAGTGATGATGTCACACATGTGTGCGTCCTATTGGTTCAGAGTGATGATGTCACACATGTGTGCGTCCTATTGGTTCAGAGTGATGATGTCACACATGTGTGCGTCCTATTGGTTCAGAGTGATGATGTCACACATGTGTGCGTCCTATTGGTTCAGAGTGATGATGTCACATGTGTCCACAGACTCGGTGCGGTTGGTCTCGGGGTCCGGTCTGTGTTCAGGATCAGTGCAGATCTGGGACGGGTCCTGGACCGGGGTCTGTGACGGGGACTTGGACCAGCGGGGGGCAGAGGTGCTGTGCAGGGAGCTGGACTGTGGGGCTCCTTCTCTCCTCCAGGGGGCGCTCTCTCCTCTGGGGCAGACGTTCCACTGTGAGGGACATGAGTCTGCTCTGATGGACTGTCCCCGCTCCAACTCAAGCACCTGCTCCTCTGGAGCCACTGTCAACCTCACCTGCTCAGGTAAAGGGGCGGGGCTTCACTGCTCAGGTAAAGGGGCGGGGCTTCACTCTGTCTCTTGTCTGTTCAGAGCCGATCAGGTTGGTGGGAGGAGCCAGTCGCTGTGCTGGGACTGTGGAGGTGAAACACAGAGGAGAGTGGAGACGAGTGAAGCCCTTTGGTGACTGGAACCAGGAGCACACAGCTGGTGTGTGCAGAGACCTGGATTGTGGCTCTGCTGTTTATGGAGAAGAGAGAGATGATTTTCCAGAGAGTCGTGTGTGGTGGGTCACAGCTGACTGTGTGAAGACGTATTTAGTGAGAGGATGTGTCGTTGCTTCATCCTCCTCTTCCTCTGGTCTGGAGGTGGTGTGTTCAGGTAAAAGTCTGATCTCATATTTTTTGTGTCCCTCAGATGTTTTTTCTAGTTGCTCCAGACGAGTGTCAGGTGTAACATGTGTGACGTCCAATCAGAGTTTAGATCACACACACACACAGACTGATGTGTCCAATCACGTGTCTCCACAGAGCTCCTGAATCGTCCAATCATCTCCGTGTCTGTGAGTGACGGGGCGTCCGAGCTCCAGCCTCAGGGGGTGCGGGTGCAGCTGGGCTCAAAGTTCAGGGTCAAATGCTCCGTGGAGCCACAGTACCCGGGAGGCTCCTTCCGGCTCCTCTCTCCCGCCGCGCCCCCCGCTCAGAACCGCACCCTGCCCGCCGTCAATCACTCCGCCCACTTCCTGTTCTCTGACGCTGACCACGCCCACAAAGGAAACTACACCTGTGTTTACCTCCTGCAGGTGTTCAACCACAACTTCTCCTCTCAGAGCCACACACTCCAGCTCTCTGTGGGAGGTACACACACACACACACACACACACACACACTATACACACACACACACACACACACACACTATACACACACACACACACTATACACACACACACACACTATACACACACACACACACACTACACACACACACACACACACACACACACACAC